AAAAAAAAAAAAAAAAAAAAAAAAGAGATTAGCTATGTAATAAAAAGGACTGACAATTTAAACATAAAACAAGGGTTCCAGTCAATTTCAGCTATTCCGAACAGCCCCGGCAGCTCCTGAAAAGCCACAATTCAGCCCGGACAGCCCTTGAACGGCTTCGGTTCAACCCGGACAGCTCCCGAACACACTCGCTTCAGCCGGACAGTTCCCGGATGACCACGTCTCAGCCCGGACAGCTCCCGAACACACTCACTTCAGCCTGGCAGCTCCCCGAACACGCTCGTTTCAATCCAGACAACTCCTGAACACGCTCGATTCGATCTGGATATCTCCCGAATATCCCCGGTTCAGCCCTTTAGCTTCCCAAACAGCTTTGCGGGTATCCCGAATGATAACTCGAGCACAAACGTAATAAAAGAAACTAAAAAAAAGAGAGAAACGGGGAAGATATTCAAAAATCAGTTTGTTAATACCTTTCGGGCAATCCGTCAAGCACCTTGAGGTCGGAAGTTTGGAAGACTGAAGTATATGAGCTCTTTGATGTTGCCTACCCAAAATTTTCTGACTGCAGCATGAACACAATAACATCAATAGTAGCTCCCAAGTATCCCATGTAGCAGAAAAAAAAAAAGGAGAAAGGAGGAGGATGAGGGATATACCTGTTCGGTAGCTTCTCGATTGGTGACGATGATGAAGCCCGAGACCTTTATTTATAGGTGAGAACCCCTTTAAGTTTAGGAAATTTATTTTTCTCCTGATATGAGGAGGAATTCGCCTGGATCTTGCAGAATTTTGAAGTTTGGAAAGAATATATATGATGCACATATGCACGCAGATTCGATACTCAAGTCTCTGTTGTAACATATTTTGTACTTGGGAAAGTAAATATTCAGAGTTTGGGATTAAATGGTTCGTATATGTTTTTTTCATGCGCTTGGATTCCGTGGGTTGGAATTTAATTATTTGCTTCCAAATTTAAAGAGGTTGAACTTTGTGTTGATTATAAATCGGTGCCTGTTTATTTGGAATTGGAATTGAAATTGGAATTGGAAGATAGAAGTTGATGGAAAGTGGGCTCAGATTTTGCAAGGCCACCTTAATGTGCCAATTTATAAATCTTAGAATTTGGGCCGTCTTTGTTCTCAAGGTTCGGGTCATGTTTATTTTGGTCTAACAATTATAAAGACTTTCAAATTGATAAGGGCCCAACAAATGAGATATTCCAAGGCTTTGGGCCTTACGGTGCATTTAAATGGATAAATATTTTGGGCCATTTGGTACACATGACAAGTTTAGCAATTTGGGCTCTCTTGGATATTGTAAGTCCATATCATGTCTTCTAAGCCCGATAAATGATGTCGCGACTCATTCACTCCAAGACACGTCGTCCGTGAACAAGTCTCGAGGGGGCATTTGTAGAGACATAAAAATTTTGTCCAATCAAATGATGCCACGTGGAAATTAATTTATTAAAAATCAAGTCATATTTTCTATTTATATTTTAGGAATTTCCATATATTTAATTCCTAAATTTAAATAGTTAATTAATTGATATTTTAATATTTTAATTCTTGACCAATCAAATAATGCCAAGTGTTAAATCCTTATCTTCTAGAAGATCTTGGAAGATCTAAGTGGATCTAGAAGATCTTGGGAGATCTAAATAGATCTTAAAGATCTTATGTGAATCATCATGGACCAATCAAATCGCGTCCTACGATTCTTAAATTTGGTAGGGTGCTCTCTCCTACACCTATAAATAGGGGCTTTCCCTAATGTCAAAAACACACATCATAATTCATATTTTGAAGTTCAAGAGCTCTAGAGAATTCTCTCTACAAGTTTCAAGTGTTCTTGAAGATTCGAAGCCGTTCTTGAAGATTCGAAGGAAGATTCAAGCACATTCAAGCTCAACACCGACGTTTAATCCGGAAACAAGCTACCAAGCCTCCGAATTGCGTTCATATTCAAGTTCAAGTTCAAGATCTCTCGACGAGATTCAAGTGTTCTTGAAGATTTAAAGGCGTTCTTGAAGACTCAAAGCAAGATTCAAGCGCGTTCAACCTCAAGACTAGCGTTCAATCCGGAAACAAGCTGCGAAGCCTCCGAATAACGTTAGTAAATTCAAAACCGGCGTGAAGAAGATTCGAGATCTACTTTGCGACGAAGACCAAGGATTCGTGTTCTTCGCGTTCTTGGGATATTTTGACGTTTGATCCGGGAAAAAGCTTTCAAGCCCTCGGATTACGTTATTTCAAGTCAAATCAAGTCAAGGAGAAGATCAAACCGAAGATTTCGCTCCAAGACTTAAAAATTGTTTGTGAGAAGAATCAGAGGAGAAAATAGAGATTGTAACCTGCAATATTTATTTTGATTCAAGAAATTCATTTGAATAATATTTTTCGTGTTTTTAAATTCAATACACGAAATTTGTTGTTACAATTACTATCAAGCAACCGTCTCCATCTCCATGGCAATATATGCAGATAAATTAAAGCAAAAATATCTTTTCGAGGCCAACAGGGCAAAGCGAAGACTTCACAATGTTCGCAACAGCTAGACAAGCTACAACTGCATATTTCAAGGCCAAAACATTCGAATAACATCAACAGCTCACGGCATAAGTATTAAATAAGTAGACAAATATGACGATGACAAACGGTACCATTTTGAGTTCGAACATCTTGTTCGGATTGACGTTCGCCGAAAATATCAGGCTGCGACAAAATTGCCATAATCGATATTACAATCTAATAGTCGAAAGGAAAGCTGAAAAGGTGGACAAAACCCTAGATCTGATCGGCTTCGCGTGGTGAGTGTCGTACTTTATCTCTATAGCTCAGTTGCAGTCACTTAAGTGAAGAACATTTCATAGGGTTTGAGCAAAAGTTTTTGAAACCGTACGACATAGTTTTGCAGGTTGGGCCCAATTAGCCAACTAAATCGGGGCCTAAGTGGGCTTTATACTATGAGAAAATTACACACTTTACTGTTAGAGTTACACTTTTTTTTATTAAAAAAAATACGAATGACAAATTTTATTTTTTAATAATACCACTAATAATTAAAATTAGGGATAATGAAGTTAAATTTAAACAATAAATTACAGTTAATTGAATTGATTTACTGAGCAAAGATCTCGGATCGTGGAAATCTTTTCCATAACCTCCTACCAAAAGCCTTCTCCAAGTTTCATCCTAAAAAATTTAAATCTCTTTTCCATAATTTCAACCAAAAATCTTCTCCTAGTTTCAGGGCAATGACGGTTTGTACGTTTCGTTGCTTATTCACTGTGGATAATCGAGTGGGCACACGAGGAAGTACTTATCGAGTCAGAGGTTGCCAAGATCGTGGTGCCGGCCGTCTTCACGTCAACCTTCATTTGCTTATTCCTATTGTACCTAATGCTCATAATATGGTGGGATTGGAGGAAGGTGACGGTTTCTTGCTCTGGAAATGGAGACGTCAAAAAAAACAGAGAAGATGATGAATGAGTATATGTAGAAGGGATTGAATAATAATGGAGGTTACCTGGCCTCACGGGTGCACGACCGGAGTTTTTCTTTCAATACGCACCAAAATTGCAGGCTTGAACACGCACCAGAGTTTTGATCAAGAGATTATTTATTTAAAGTTTATATGTCGGTATATAAAACACGAAGGAGTGTAGTAAACACATACAAAAATTATACGTTAGTTATACATAATCTGTATTGTGTTGTTTTTGGGAGTGCGCAAAGTTACATATGTTGTTTATCTTATGTATAACTACATATTTTGGATTTTGCAGTCATTTAGAACTGTGTATTATGTTTTACTTAGTTTCTGTGTTGTTTATCTTTTGTATAATTATACAGTTAATATTTAGAGAACTGTCAGATCATGTTTATGTGTTGTTTATATGTTGTTTATCTTTTGTATAACTATACAGTTAATATTTAAAGAACTGTCAGATCATGTTTATCTAATGTATATATACAATATATCTAAACATATGAGATTTCGTGAAGAAAAATTTGTTATTTTCTAGCTCAACTGAAGCTTTATTTTTTTCAGTACGATTAACGATTTTTTTTGGAGTTCAAGATGTGGAAGAACGGACAATTCCATTCGAATTTATGAATTCGAGAATTCCTTGATTCTAGGCATCATATTTGTTAATTTATTTTTTCAATTTCCGTTTTCTTTGCGAGTCATTCGGAAAAAATTGATTGTGTGCCTGATTTTTGGAGAGAGAAACGATCATTAGGAGATAAAAAGATTTATGGACATTGGAGGGAAAAATTAATTATTAGGTGAGAGAAATATAAGTTCGTAGATGTGAAAAAATATACCCCATAAATTTTCATTTTGATTAAACTTTCTTCTCTACGTAGATATGTGAATATATCTTACAAGGAATCTATATATGTAAATTTCCCTTATACTATTAGGTCCGATTATTTTGGATTTAACTTAACCCGCCCCGACTCCCATCCATCCATTCATCGAATTGATTTGGATAATTGTAGAAGTTTTGATTTTCTCTCTCTCCAGAACTACACTAAAATAAAGCTCCGCCAACACTAAAAAATGGCCACCAACTCTATCTCCCTTCCCGCCATTTCCAATTTCTCTCTCCCGCCAAGGAGATCTGCTAGGGTCACGCGTTTAGCCCTCACCGACCAATCGCAGTCTCCGTCTGTCGACGCCAAGCGCCACCTCCTCCGCCTGATCGCCGACCAGGACCGCGGCCTCAAAACACAGTCCGACACGCAGAGGCTTTCCCATATAATCGAGGCCGTCGATTCACTGCCTGCAACCAGTCGCGGGAGCGTCACCACCGGAGAATCGCATTCAGACACGTGGCTGATGTTGTGGACCACCGAGAAAGAGCAACTCTTCATCGTGAAGAACGCGCTGGTTTTTGGAACCTCAGCAGGTGATGTTTTGCAGGTTATCAACGTCGAGCAGAAGACTCTCAACAACGTTATCACTTTCCCTCCGGACGGTGTGTTCTTCGTTCGGTCGGAGATTCAGGCCGCTTCAGCTCAAAGAGTCAATTTCCGGCAAGTGCTTTATCTTAAGCAATTTTTTTGGGGATACTTTGTTTGTTTACTTGTTTGTTTTGAGTTGTCATTTGAGATGAAGTAATCTATCTACATTACAGAGATGTTTAGTATTGCATTACTTGATTTTGAATATTGTGACTTGCATTACAATATTTGATGTTTGTATATGTCATAGCTTGTGATTACGATAATGACTACGAGATCCTTGATTTTGAATTATTTGACTGTTTGTTTGATGGGTATAAGTGTTAAATGGCTACATTGCTTGATTGACCTAAACTAATAGAAATGGTCATGTTGCTGTTTCCATTTTTTATATCGCTCCATAGTTTATTTGGTGTTGCAAAGTGCAGATTTACTATTCGCAGTTTCTAAAGCAGTCTAGAAATCTAAAAACCACTGCAATTATATCTTGGATGAAGAGAATATTTGTAAGTGATGAGCTCTGAAATTGTGTTGGGTGCAGAAATGGGATAAATTGGGGAAAATTGCTGAATTATATTAATCGGTTATGTTTGAGGATTAAAGGATCAAGGACTGCCTTAATTTGTGTTATGAATTTTACTTTTGTAGATTTACAAGTGTTGTTCTCCGCGGTAAGGGATGGGAGTTTCCTCTGCCACCATTTGGTCAGGGTTGGTAAGTGACATTTATTCTCTTACTCTCTCACTACATTGAGAGAAATATATTCACCACTCAGAACTCATTCTGACCGCGAGTTAGAATTTCTTCGAATTTGCTATTAAATTCATTTGATACTTGATAATATCTGTACATATCAAAATCAAATGATGATATCCTGAAGAAGAGCAATAAAACTATTTTCATTCATATTTTGTGCACACCATTGGCTTGATGTATTGGACAATTCCACAAGATAAAAGACCCTCTAGAGAATTCTCATTTCAAATTAATTTCACGTGTTATTGTGGCCATGATGGCATTGTTTTTCTTGTTCTCTTTTATGCAACTAAAACTAACTCATAATCTTCTATGTAGGTTTGTCGGTATATATTGATGATAAAATTCGGGTGGTGAAAGATATTAGACAGGACTATTTAATTGTCGAGCGTGCTCCTTATTCCTGGAAAGAATGAATTCAGCGGTCCACCACATTTCAAATCCAGTTAAAAAATGGTGACTACTTCCATCTTTAACTCCTATGACCAGTTATGATACTAAATTCAGCAATTAAAAAGCTAAATTGAGATTTATTAGCTGTTTTCAAGTTCTTTTCCAGCAGTTGAGTGCGAACCCTGTAACCACTGATTATCGATGTTGGATGAATCTTGTTTCTCACTAAATCATTAGCTCTCTAGAGAAATAAATCCCAAATTAGCATAGAACATTTCAGGTTACCAATTTAGGTAAAATATTCTACTCCCGCAACTGCAAAACTGGCCATAATACCTTCAGCAATTCTGCAGCTATGATGACTACAGATGTTGTGCCATCTCCCAATTCTCGGTCTTGTAATTCTGGCAGCTCAACAAGAACCTGTAATCATTTAAGAACTACACATAAATTTCTTGCAATGCTAAATTGTAAAAGCACAAAAACACAAAGTTTACCTTGGCAACAGGATGTTCAACCTCCAGCATTTTCAATATCGTCGCACCATTATTAGTAATTGTCACGTCACCAATATCATCGACGAGCATCTAGCAAGTACCGACCAGGAATGAAAAAGAGCATCACATTTTAAGTCTAAACTGAGATATTAACATACCAGGCACTTAAAGATACTCACAGCACTCGAGTTATTGGAGTACATGCTATAATTAAAAGTAAAACCTACCAATCACTACTTTCATCTTTAACATAAGTGCAAAATGAATAAGAAAATGTCTTGCTGACGGATTGCGAGCAACGAACACATACAAAACAAGAGAAAACGAAAACACCGCTAAGTTAGGCACTACTTAATTTGTTTTCAGTATTACTATCAAGCAACCGTCTCCATCTCCATGGCAATATATGGAGATAAATTAAAGCAAAAATACCTTGTCGATGCCAACAGGGCCAAGCGAAGACTTCACAATGTTCGCAACAGCTAGACAAGCTACAACTGCATATTCCAAGGCCAAAACATTCGAATAACATCAACAGCTCACGGCATTCCCTGTGCAGCGCGCCCTGTATCCAGAGCATATCCTTTGAGTAGATAGCTATCTCTGCACTTTGTCCATGGGCTTTAAGAATATTGATTCCCTGAACATAATTGAAATAATGACTCACCTCTTCTATTTGAAAAATTGACAAGATCAAGGAAAATTATTGTTAATATTTCAGGGTTCGAGCAGGATTTAAGTTTCTTCTAAACGTCAGTTTTTATTTTTACTGAATGATATCTTCAAGGTTCTTGAGATAGTATGGCTGCAAAGACTAGCCTAATTTTCTTTTCAAACCAAAAAAATGCAATAGAAGTTTATTAAGCATCATCCCAAATTCATGCTAGAAGAAACAGCGAACTGAGACTATCTTTAGAAAATAACCAAGAACGATAAGTTCAAAATTATGCACAGCCAACCTTGATTGGATACCGAACTTCGCCTCTTGCATTTGTCATTTTTACTGCTTGTACAGCTTCAACAACCTACAGAATAAGAGAGTTTTTTTTAGACGCAAATTTGTAATGCTATGTAAACACCAAGAAGAAATAAAGTAATTCACTAGAGAGAAACAGCCTCCTTAAAACACAAAACAACATCGCAAGATGTTAAAACCATGAACCCTGATAGCGTAGACCACAGAAGAAAAGCAACGAAGTCACATGAGTACAAGTTCACACTTCACGTTACAGAAAATGAGATACAAGAAAGTTACGGCAACTAAAATTCATTATTAGCAAACAAAACAATGTCGAATGTTTGATCAAATGCACAGAGGACACCCAAAAAAGAAAAATGATTAAAAAAATTACAGCACTAGAAGCTATGCATCTGATTCAAACTTTATGTCGTATGCAAATAATTCGCACATTAATCACTCATCCACTAACTTACCAGATTTGCGAAGAAGTCACTGTCACCACCTATCAACTTTGAGGACATGCTGGTCTTGGCACTGTTCACCAGTGAATCTTTGCCAAGCTTTTCAACCTAACCCACATGCAAAAATGTCTCAAACAGTCGACATATAAAATTCTATCAACTTTAAGGAAACATTTCTGGTTTACAACTAGATACTAGTTCAAGTCGATCCAAGACAAGCAACATACAAACATGAAACGTTCTGTCCACGTCTGTTAGTGTTCTGCAGACCCAAATATGACAAACAGAAACATGTGTTTCTGAAGGAACAATTAGGAGAAGAGTTACCTTTACAGCCAATTTCTCATCAACATATTTGCATGCTTCCCTCATAGCAAGCTGACAACAAATGTTAACAATGAAACTAGAGAATCATGTAAAATAACTAAACCAAAAAAGGAGAATCTAAACATATGAAACTTTTGAGGAGGGAAGAAAAATAGGAGGAATAAAAAAAAAAAACACAGTTGAGTGCGAACCCTGTAACCACTGATTATCGATGTTGGATGAATCTTGTTTCTCACTAAATCATTAGCTCTATGTAAAAATAAATGCCAAATTAGCATAGAAGTTTTAGGTTTACCAATTTAGGTAAAATATTCTACTCCTGCGCAAAACTTGCCATAATACCTTCAGCAATTCAGCAGCTATGATGACCACAGAGTCGTGCCATCTCCCACTTCTCGGTCTTGTAATTCTGTCAGCTCAACAAGAACCTGTAATCATTTAAGAACTACACATAAATTTCTTGCAATGCTAACATGTAAAAGAACAAAAACACAAAGTTTACCTTGGCAGCAGGATGTTCAACCTCCAGCATTTTCAATATCGTCGCACCATCATTAGTAATTGTCACGTCACCAATATCATCGACGAGCATCTAGCAAGCACCAACCAGGAATGAAAAAGAGCATAAGATTTTAAGTCTAAACTGAGATATTAACATACCAGGCACTTAAAGATACTCACAGCACTCGAGTTATTGGAGTACATGCTATAATTAAAAGTAAAACCTACCAATCACTACTTTCATCTTTAACATAAGTGCAAAATGAATAAGAAAATGTCTTGCTGACGGATTGCGAGCAACGCGCACATACAAAACAAGAGAAAATGAAAACACCGCTAAGTTAGGCACTACTTAATTTGTTTTCAGTATTACTATCAAGCAACCGTCTCCATCTCCATGGAAATATATGGAGATAAATTAAAGCAAAAATACCTTGTCGAGGCCAACAGGGCCAAGAGAAGACTTCACAATGTTCGCAACAGCTAGACAAGCTACAACTGCATATTCCAAGGCCAAAACATTCGAATAACATCAACAGCTCAAGGCATTCCCTGTGCAGCGCGCCCTGTATCCAGAGCATATCCTTTGAGTAGATAGCTATCTCTGGCACTTTGTCCATGGGCTTTAAGAATATTGATTCCCTGAACATCAATGAAATAATGACTCACCTCTTCTATTTGAAAAATTGACAAGATCAAGGAAAATTATATTTAATATTTCAGGGTTCGAGCAGGATTTAAGTTTCTTCTAAACGTCAGTTTTTATTTTTATATCTTCAAGGTTCTTGAGATAGTATGGCTGCAAAGACTAGCCCAATTTTCTTTTCAAACCAAAAAAATGCAATAGAAGTTTATTAAGCATCATCCTAAATTCATGCTAGAAGAAACAGCAAACTGGGACCATCTTTAGAAAATAACCAAGAACGATAAGTTCAAAATTATGCACAGCCAACCTTGATTGGATACCGAACTTCGCCTCTTGCATTTGTCATTTTTACTGCTTGTACAGCTTCAACAACCTACAGAATAAGAGAGTTTTTTTGATACGCAAATTTGTAATGCTATGTAAATACCAATAAGAAATAAAGTAATTCACTAGAGAGAAACAGCCTCCTGAAAACACCAAATAGCATCGCAAAATGTTAAAACCATGAACCCTGATAGCGTAGACCACAGAAGAAAAGCAACAAAGTCACACGAGTACAAGTTCACACTTCACGTTACAGAAAATGAGATACAAGAAAGTTATGGCAACTAAAATTCATTATTAGCTAACAAAACAATGCCGAATGCTTGATCAAATGCACAGAGAACACCCAAAAAAAAAATGAATAAAAAAATTACAGCACTAGAAGCTATGCATCTGATTCAAACTTTATGTCGTATGCAAATAATTCGCACATTAATCACTCATCCACTAACTTACCAGATTTGCGAAGAAGTCACTGTCACCACCTATGAACTTTGAGGACATGCTGGTCTTGGCACTGTTCACCAGTGAATCTTTGCCAAGCTTTTCAACCTAACCCACATGCAAAAATATCTCAAACAATCGACATATAAAATTCTATAACCTTTAAGGAAACATTTCTGGTTTACAACTAGATACTAGTTCAAGTCGATCCAAGTCAAGAAGCATACAAACATGAAACGTTCTGTCCACATCTGTTAGTGTTCTGCAGACT